TTGCAGTGTTTTCCAATTTTTTTCTGCCTTGAAGACCACATTACGCTGAAACCGAAGCCATTGAAAGTGTACTTTGTTAATTGAGAAAAAAAGTTTTGTGCATACAACGTGCAAGATATAAAATTAATATAAGGAGTATTGATATTTTTGTTGTTAGCGCAGATGGCCCGTACAGGATATGAACATATCAATTGTATTTTTCTTGGGGCTGAGTTGGGCATTGAGGTAGCAGGGATGGATTTATGAAATGTAAAAAAATTTTTTTTCAGGTATTCGTTTTGCCAAATAATGCTATGAAAGATTAATATCGGAATGAAATGTTCCTGATTATTAGATCATCATGATTTCATGTTACAAAATTAGTATACAGCTGAATATCGACAATGTTTGAATTTAAATCCAATGGACAAAAGGAAGGGTCTTCAGCGATATATATATATATATATATATATATATATATATATATATATATATATATATATATATATATATATATATATATATATATATATATATATATATCCTTTAAGAATGACTATTTTTTAATCTTCCTAAATTACTTGCTAAGTATAAAATTTAGTTGCTGACACTGATGTAATTTGGTGTTGTCTGAGTTGTAGCGAACTAAGAGGGGAGGAGGAGAAGGGTGGTTGTCCGGGGCGACAAAGGTCTTGGGACGCCAAAATCATCCCTTAGGGTCTTCATTGTCGCCCCAGGCGCCATTTACCCTTAGTACATCACTGTGTGTGAGTATTGACTAAATACGTTAATATGTAATTATTTAAGTCTGAAGTCCCAAAGCAAATAATTCACAATAATATCCACAATACAAGGTAACAAATATATCGCCAAACATCTTTGTAAAACCCCTTGCTTTGATTCCTACAATGGCTACCATAACCTCCAGTAGCCTACTTTAACCCCACTACCCATTCACCCACGTAAATCACATAGCCTTCATAAGGGACAAACTATGTCTGTTGACTCTCTATATCTATATTGGCTTCGCACAACAGAAAAAAGTATAGATATACATATTTTTGGACTCCACATCAACAGAAAAATGTCATAGTATACAAAATGCCAAATGCATATCCCGTGCACGTGGAATAATCTTCTTTTTTCAAGCTGAACGTACAAAAATGACATAACTGGTACAATAACAACGGAGACTGTAGTACTTAATTCGCGATAATTATCAAGGGTGCTGTAAATATACTAAAAATGATATTTACATCAAATGCAAATCTTTTTTTTTCAAAAAAAATCCCAACGAAATCTTCACTTTAACATACTGAATTTTGAAAAGTATATCTAACTTATAATAACTTAATAAAAGAAATAAATTAACCCATGATATGAAAGAACGTTTACAAATCTTCGAAGGCTATAATCTAAAAACGTTTTGAGCCTTTGCCTAGGCAGTGAGGCAATTGTGACATAAATTTGGGAGATGGAATGAGGTGGGGGAAAAAAAGCGCAAAGAGAAGAAATAATCTGCGTTACAAAACAAACGCAAGTGGATGTTCAGAACTTGTATGATGCATGATTCGTCTGCTGTTAAATCGCTGAAATCTCGCGAGATGGGTTCTATAGTACCACGTTCTGCTTTACCGGAACGCAGTTATACGTCCTAGTGTCTTTGGACAGAAGGGTAAACACTTAAATTCCCGCTTGGATCATATTGATTAGTCTTCTTATCTATAGAGACTATTACGTACTTGAAAGAAGACAGGATATTGACCTAAATGTTTGCACTTGAAAACACGTTTAACTAGTCTATTTTAGAAGACAGTCGCCTGCCTCAACGCATACAAATGTCTCAACTTCATAAATGATAAATGTCGAAAAAGATGAAGTCCCAAAAATGTTAATATCACCCCTCATCAATAGACATATGTTTCAAATGTTTGGAGCAAAAAATATAGAAATCAAGGTGCAGAATTTAGAAAACTCGATATTGCATATCACTGCAATGGGTAATTACCAATCACTTAGAAGTCTCAAACCGTATGTAAATTACGTAATTCTTAAGTTTTATTCGTATACATTTTAGATTCCTAACCAGCCATGTTCTATGAAAAGATGAATAAAAAGACCAAACACTGAATTTTCTTAGAGGGGTCCGATTTCTTTTTGCTGTAGAAAACAAATGTTCAGCTCAGAAATAGCTTGGATACGAAAAAACAACAACATTTCAGCACACACCAAAAAAAAGCCATAACAAATTAAATGGTAGGTTGCGTCATAGCTGTGACATTTTTTTTTGTTTTGTTTAATTTTGTTCGTGTACTGTATGTTACGTGGTGAAAACTTTTATGTCCTCGGAAAAGAAAAAAATATATATATATCCAGTTCAAAGAAACCACCTCCATCCCAACCACAAAATAAAATGTTCGGTAACAAACCATCATATCCTATTAGTATTAAAGCTAACTATTGCCACGTTAGTGTACATGATGTCATACAGAATTATTCTGGTTTCCTTCCTTATGTGCTCCTTTGCTACGCATTTCTAACACAATGTCAGGTAGAAACGAAATCGATATTGGTATATAATTAGAAAACAATGGCGACAAATGAAGACACGTAACAAAACCGCAGATGTATTCTACATTATTGAACTGATGTGAATCGTACAGGTACTCTCGGTTTTAACTATATCAGTTCATACCTTAAGTGTAACCAGTGATTCGATCATATAATGATTTTTTTTTTACAAAGACTTTTGGTAATGAATGACGGGTTCGAACCCCTGCTGAGTCATATCAGATACTTATAAAAAATAGTACAAACAGCTGATTTGCTTGGCGTTCAGCATTGAGAGGTTAGTGTTAGGACTGGTCGGTCTGTGTCAGAATAATGTGACCTGGTGGGACACAATGCTGCATGTCTGTGACATGATATCTATTGCTAGACATCACTATGAACAGTCATACCAGACATTGCAGCGATATGACTAAGATTGTTAAAACTACGTTTAAATACACACATAAAAACGAAAGAATGAAAATGAGTAAATCCATGCAGGCAATTATCTTTTCCTAACAATGCATCAGTCCTATCTCATAATTGTTCTTTTCAGTTGTTTCCTGAATCAATGTTTTGGAGGAACTGATATTATATAGTACAGGAGTAGTAGATCAGAACGCCAATCTGGAAACAAGAATTAAAAGAAAAACAAGAGAGGACCACGTATTGAAAAGAAAAACTAAAATGTAAGATCGTACTCTATTTAATTTCATCGTTTTCAAGCTGTGCATCATTCAAAAACCTACAACAGGCTAAAGAGAAAACAATTTTTATTCTTCTCTGTTTCTATTATTTCTTATAAAAAAAACTCGGTCGAAATGGCGCAAAAATATATTTCTGTTACATTCATTATTTATAAAAGTGGGCAGGAAACTGACATCTACTTACAGATTCTTGCACATTGTTGAGTGGGTGCCATATAATTCAAGGATGAAGTGTTTTGGTAAACAATACATTAAACTTTCTTTGCAACTACAAAATTTATTATAACTGAAGATTCAGCTTCCAATGTCAACAGCAATTTCCAGCTAAATAAATGTATATTTTTGTTTATACGTGGGTTTTACAGGACTATCCGTACTAATTATATAGAAGAATTGGAACAATCAGATGATGATGAAATAGAGAATATGTGGGTCTAGCTAGCAAGCCATCATTGGTTGATAATGACAAGATACATGTTAGCAAAACTGTTGTTTAAAATAAACTGGGACCATTTTTGTTGATGGGATTTCAGTCCTTTTACGGATTTGACTTTTTTTGGTACACGAATTAGTGAAATTAACACCTGATCCTTTTGGTGCGGACTTGTAAAATATTTGTAAAATAAATAAATGATGTTGGATATATAGCTTTCCACACGCAGTAGCTTGCATCAAAAATGGGTCTATACTGAGAAATATAGATCTGGTCATAAACTTTAAAAAAATTAAAATTTAAAGTTATTGAATTTTAAATATTGTGTTGCTTCCATAGGTTTATCGTGGAAACTGAATTAGTAACGTGAGTTCTACGACTATGATATTTTATGGGATTGTGCCTTTACCGAATATCAAAGAATGATGTTTGCTAGTTAACATTTTTTTTTTATAAATGGTTGAAAAAATGATTACGATACTATTTTAGATATCTTGATATTTTGACTCACCCTTCGCTGGTTTGACAACAACACAGAAACTACAGCTCTTGTAAATTAAAGTTGTGATAGTTACAACAGATTACTTACAACGACAAATGAGAATTCAGTGTGTCCTTGCGTCTATTAAATTGTATGCAGGCTACAGCCTTGGTGCATCCGACGCTGTATTTTCAAGCATTTTGGAGCAAAAGCTCCAGCCCAAACCAGACTGATACTAAGAAGAACTTGGCAATCGAAGAGACTTAAGAAAGAGAACCAATTTTAGAAAAATCTTGAAAGTGCCATGCTTTTAACTTTACTATGATAAAACTTGTATGCCGTCAAACCTTTGGCTCTTTGAACTTGAATTTGAGTTACGAGCTCAGAAAGTTCAAAGAATAGACCGCTGAATAAATATTAAGTGGTCCGGATAATAGGACTGCGCTAGACACTAACTGATCGTACCATTATGACTAATATCTAATTGTGGATTTCCTTTAGTTTACATGAGTTTAGTTTAAACTGTGTTGCCCATGACTGAGCTAGAAGAAAAAGAATAAATATGTAACGGATTGGAACGATGCATAAAGTAAGGGACCCAATTTAAGAAAAATCATGAAAGTGCCATACTTTTAACTTTACTCGGATAAAACTTGTATGCCGTCAAACATTTTGCTCATTAAACCTGAATTTGATGTCTAGCTCTAAGGCATCATGCATAAGGAAAGCAGCATGATGTCCCACGCAGTAACTTTATTCCGACACAAGGCCGACTATTCCGAACACTATCCTCTTAATGCTGAGCGCCTAGCCAGGCAGGTGGTAATACCAATTTTATACGTCTTTGGTATGATTCGGCCGGGGTTTGAACCCGCGACCTCTTGCTTCCGTGGCGGACACTCTAACCACTAGGCCAGCGGAAGTAGTTGTGCATAGCACGATGATGTGTGGAACCGATATATAGATTTCGGTTATAGGCAGTGACAGTAGTCATTTGTACAAAATACAATGCTCAAATCAGAAGTCACGCTGGCAGGTTAAGTTGATCACATATGTTAATATTTCAACAAATCGCGGAGCTTTCGGTACTTTCGCCTTTTTGAAGTGATTTAGTTACATATAGACATTCGTATATTTTTAGCTGATGTGTGAAGTAGTTATATCTAACACAATTTCACGGTCACAGTAGACCAGTTGATAGAACGTCGGACTCGTAATCCTCGGGTCGCCGGTTTGGTTGCCTCGCTTTGTTCGTGGAAACAAGGCATATTGCTATCTCTTTCTTGCTACGATAAAGCTAATATTTTGTTTATAATGCTGCTAAAGTCAACCAAACTAAGCTTACAATAATAAATCCCATCCTTGGTGTTGTTTTTTTTTTAGTTGATCATACTTCTGGATCATCACCATGACTGAACAAAAACCTTTGCGTTCTAATTCACGTCATACTTTATACACACCTTTTGCTGATACTTTTTGGTCCAACAAACATTTCTTGTTTAGAGATTCACATAATACCAGTTGTTGCATGAACATTTTGTGGGGACATACAGGAATTTATATTATTAGTCCCTTGGGAGAAACGGGTAATCCTAAGATAAAATTTTACATAGATTTCTAAATCGAATAGTAACAAGGGGACAAAAGTGTTTATAGGGACAATGGGATTCATGGGAACAAACGGGAAGCAATTGTTAACGTTTGTACATACAAACCTACACACACATATGCAATCCAGTAATTCCTTTTTTAATATAATCCAAACTCCACCACCCTTCCGTCAAGCAACCTGTATTTTGATTACTACCCAGAACACCACATATAATATTCTTCAACAGATATTTTTAATTAATATCAAAACATAGACCCATACTATCCAGCAACCCACTTTGTATTACTATCCAAAACACACACACACACACTATTCAGCAACGGTGTTTTGATTTTAATCCAAACACCTCTTCTCTCCAACTTAAACGTTAGGGTTGTTTATACACCACCCGGTACTTATACACACATACACATAGTATCAAATAAGTATCAAGTCTTTATTGACACAATATTATACGTTTTCGCATCTAATATCACAAGAGAAGGGGTAAGAGTTTTTACTCAAACCCGAAAGAAATGATAAATATTATTAGTTCCTATCTTTTGTAGAGGGCTGGGAGGTCCTGAAATAGAGCGTTTCGTTTTCCTCTACTCCTCACCTTTAGCAGTGGTCTGGGTCTAGCACCAAAGGAAGCACGTTTGTGGACCTTTATTGTTTTCAAGATGTCTTGGTGGAGACCATGAGCATAAAACTCGCCTAGTTTGTCTCTTTTTCCTATATGCACTTCTCATTCTTTGGGATCCAGTCTCAATGGACAAATTTTTAAATTGTTTCCTGGTTATTCATCCAGTTCTGGTTCAGGCGCTTGAGATTCCTTTCCTGCTTCTTAGACCTTTATTTTCGTCCGACCATGTCCGATCGTTTCAGTCACTTCATGAATTACCTCCTTCACGAACGTTTATAGCTATTCTCAAAGAGGTGACTTCCCTCTTTAAGTGTAGCATGTGGGCAGGAGTAACTCTCCGTCTCCTCCACCCAACCCACGAGCTACTGGGTTCGATTCATCAAGCTAATGGCCTCCATCAACATACGTACACAAATTACATTGCTGGTTTTCCATTTTTCTGTTGTTTTTCTTTTCTAGTCAACGACGAATAATACGACTGGTGAACGCGAGGAAATATATGCTTTAAGCATAGACGTGAAGGCAATAATCCTTCTGATTCAATAGTCGGACGTTATGCTTTAAGCATAGACGTAAAGGCAACAATCCTTCTGATTCAATAGTCTGACGTGGTGAAAACAGTCCTCACACAGAATACATACTGAACATAAATTATGCGTACGAAGAAATCGTTGTTCTCAATTTTGCAATATTTTTCTTTTCTTTTCTTTTCTTTTTTTTTTTGATAGGAAACGTTATAACACACCATATCCAACAAACACTCATTTTACAAGGGACAGGTTTAGATTTTGCTGAAAAAGACAAAGATACAAACACAAGCAAACATACACATACAATTCTTCTAGAGATTTAGGTGGCTCTAAGAAAGGGTTAATATGTTTTTGATTGGTCCTTGGTTTTAACGTCCAAATGAACGGCTGCCTTTCAACGTTGGCTTCACCGTAGAATAAGGATGCTTCTCCGTCTGAAGTCGACTTTCAAAGTAACAATAGTCAGAACACCTGTATTCTTCTCTAATATGTACCTGTCAATGACTTTGTTCTATCCAGAGTAGTTTGTGAGTATATGGGTGAGATCCTGAGAAAGATACACGCACATAATCATTTTTCCCCGTAAAATAGAAGGGTTGTGCTGCATCGCTTCCGCAAGTAGAGTATGATACACGCTTTCGATCAAAGAAGATCAGCAAGATCATGCAATGTCACAGAGTACGGCATCACTCCGTATTGAAAGACACAGCATGGCACTCGAGTTCATTAATGAAGGCTCTCACTCTCTTGCTGTGTCAGATTCGTCATTATCGGTAAAAGTGTGTTACTTACAACTGTTCCCTTTTTGTACCTTAGCTAAGCGTATCCGTACGGTAAGGTGGTGTGGTCTGGAAGTCACGTTCGTTTTTTTTTTACCCAGTCTGATGGATTTTTTGTACCCAGTCTGATGGGTTTTTGTACCCAGTCTGATGTGTTTTTTGTACCCAGTCTGATGTGGTTTTGTACCCAGTCTGATGGGTCTATTGTACCCAGTCTGATGGATATTTTCTAAAGGCCGACTGTCAAATTGGAGGTTTTGTAAACGTACAGTTTTGTGTAGATCCAATAATTTCACGTAAACATCTTGATCTTGTTCGGACTGTAAAGCTTATTTTAAGACATCAAGCATATTTCACTCGCACGATAGTTTAGTGTCAATCCTTTGACTTTTAATTTTGTATACACTTGTCAATGTCGGTCGCTATTGCTTTTGGAGACACAGGTAGCAAAATTTACAACAGTAGTCTTCTGAGTGTCTGCTCATCCATGAACCTAAATAGTCCAACTTCGACATTTTGTGTCAAACTGTCGATGTCAAAGTGAAGAACTCAGTCTCCATAAAATTTCAAGGCATCATACGCTCTAAACCGGGCACACAGACTGGTGCGTACTCTGCAATGATAACATTTCCAAACGTGTCGGGGTCTGCAGACGCTTTCACTTCTTCGTAATTTACCAAGATCAATTTTTCACGGAAGAATTTCACGTGTTTCGTAAATTTACCATTGTCGTTCATTAGTGTTCCGTCATGGGTAATAACGGACGGTGCAACTAATTTGCACACAAACGAAGCAACACGACTTTAGCAAACAATCGTCTTCATTTCTTTCCTTCTTTCCCAAGTGTTAAAAAATTATGCATATTTGAGTTCGGTATCATTAATTGAATTTGTCTTTTCTTCTGCACTTTTATTGACTGTCTAAACAAATTACATCCTACAATAAAATTTACATTCAACGTATCTAAAACTAAAGTATCTTTTTCAGATGTAGAAATCGTGAATAATGAAAATAATGACATCGCCACAATGGTTCATGTTAAAGACACGAATATTCATCAATATGTTGAATATTCTTCTTGTCATCCTAAATCATGTAAAGACGGGATACCATACAGTCAAGCTAAAATATATTGAAGAATTATTTCAGATGACAATGTTTTTAAATCGTCCTTGACAGAGTAAGGTCAGCATTTGCTAAATAGGAATTACCTATTAACATCATTAATACTGCTTTCCAAAAAGTATCATCATTTACGCGACTTGAATTATTGCACTCTAGAACCAAAGATAATAATGAAGATACTATTCCTTTTGTTTTTGAATATAATCATAGTTTGCTTAATATAGGTTTGAGTATCAACTAATTTTGGGATTTATTAAAACTATCTGGTGAAACAAATGTTAAATCGCTACACAAAAGCAAACCCACACTTGCTTTTAAAAGGCCCAAAGATCTTAAAAATTACCTAATTAATTCTAAATTTTAAAAAAATACAACATAAAAATCGATCATCAATTAAATGTAATAGACCTAGATGTTCGTTCTGTTCTTTAATTAATGAAAATACTTTTTTTAATATTATTAATACGAAATAAACTTTTAATGCGTTGTGATACTAATTGTGCAACATCAAATGTCATTTACTTGATCACATGCAGAAAGTGTAGCATACAATATATTGGACAAACGAGTCAATAAATATCCAAACGTATGAACCAAAATAGATCAGATATTTAAAAAAGCTATATCGATCATAATTTTAATTCTCACGTTGTAAAACACTTTAACAAAAGTTCACATACTTTGCAAGATTTCTCATTTCAACCTATTGATATAGTTGATTTTGAGATGGGACCTCTTTTAAAGGAAACCTATTGGATTCACCGTCTTAGTATGGTATATCCAAAAGGTCTTAATTCCAAAACCTTGTACGACACTGATTAATAAAATATTTTTAATTATGTTCCCTATTTACAATTAGTAAATAATATTTCTTTATTATTTAACATTATTTTAATTAAAAAATTAATTAATATTAGTATTATTAATATCATAAAATATATCTAATAATTCTATTAAACTGACAGAGTATCTCAAAATTAATGATATAATATATTATTTTTATTTAGTTCTCAATACTCTCGCACACCATAATGTTTTACTATTTATTTATTATATAGTTTATGTTCTGATCAACTTTTGAACATACATTATCAAATGTTGTCTATTATATATATATATATATATATATATATATATATATATATATATATATATATATATATATATATATACTGTTTTTTAATGTTTCTAATTTCAGTTATTGTGTTTGTACATAATAATAAAAATATAAATAAAACTGTTTATCT